ATGGTACTGGCACAAAAACAGACACATAGATCAATGGAACAGAATAGAGAGCCCAGAAATGGACCCTCAACTCTATGGTCAACTAATCTTCGTCAAAGCAGGAAAGAATGTCCAATGGAAAAAAGACAGTCTGTTCAACAAATGGTGTTGGCAAAATTGGACAGCCACATACATCATTAGTTTTTGATGTAGTGGTCTGTGATTCATTGTTTGCGTATAACACCCAGTGCTCCCTATCCTTGAAATTTTGAAGAAACCCATCCCTAAAACTATTTGGATCTGGCATAATGGGAGATCAGGGGTCAGGAATACATTTGGGCAGGTAGAGTAGGCTGTTTTCTTGGTATTCCTCTCTCCAAACCAAAGATTAAATAAGTAAATATGATAGGCTCTTAGATTCCTTATTTTCAGTGCTTTTGCTAACATTGTTAGACCCTCTAATTGTTTCTGGAAATATACAGAAAATGGCTAACATAGCAGGACTGAACTGCTATCTTTAGGAAGTCCTGCTTGCAAGGTTGGCCCTTGTCTGGCATCTAGATGGAAACTTAGAGTTTAGAAGGATTCCTGCCATCAATTGATAAGAGTGGCTCACTTAAGCAGTTTGTGCAAATACTGTGGTTTATGTTGAACACTACTCTCCTTCTGGGAGTCTAGAATTTGGATACTCCCAGACAGGGGCTACCTATTGTGACAGCATCCATTATAAATACTCAGGGCATTGAGTCTCCAACAAGCTTCCTGGTTGGCAACATTTAACATGTGTTGTCACAACTTGTTGCTGGGGGAATTAAGCACATCCCATGTAATTCCACTGCGAGAGGACCCTTGGCAGCTTATGTCTGGTTCTCAGACTTTGCCCCATATGCTTTTTCAAAACCTTTACTAATTTTGCTTTGTATTCTTTGACTGTAATAAATCACAGTCATGAGTACAATCATATGCTGAGTCACGAGAGTTCATATGTCAGGCCAAAACAGTGATATTAAAAGTCAGTGGCAGAGTTATAAAATATAACTTTAAAAAAATCTATAACCATGTCATTACAGGTGTGGAAACAATCTCATGGAAGTTAGAAAATTTGTCAGGGATCACATATGTTGACAGTGATAGAATAAGTTTTAAAGCTTAAGAAACAAGTCAGTAAACAGTTGTACTCCATGAACTTTAACATTTTTTCGAATTTTATTTGCCAAATTAAAGTTGGAGGTTTAAAAAATTAACTTTATTGATGTGTGTTTCTAAAATGTGCTTTTTAAAATACAGGTAGGTGGACCCAAACTATTACTTTGTAGTTAAGCTCTGGCATCTGGCAAAAGTATTTTCAAATATTTTCTGCTTATGAGCTGTGGCCTTGGTAATTTTGTTGGCACCATTTGCCTCTTTGCAATAAGATTCAAAATGGAATCAAATCCTCAACATATTTTCTCAGTGGATATTTTGTTTGTGTATTTGTGCATCTGAATAAGGTATGTGACTACAAGTCAGTGGTTCCTTTTCAGCGTGCTCGTTAGAATCACTTCGGAAGAGTGATTCCATATTCCAGGCCAACTAAGTCACAATTTCTGGTGTGGGGTGCAAGCGTCTTTTTCTGCCCCTTTTTTTAAAGCTCCGCATGTGATTCCAATGTGTGTAAGCTCATTGACAATCACTGGTCTAATTAAAATTATTTCTATATGCCAATAAAAATTGTATTTATCCCATAGTAATTGGCTGTTTTCTATACCTGGCAATATTCACTTTATATCTTCAATTGGAAAAACATGATTAAAATGTAAATTTAGCAAAAAGAAGTTGTATGTATTAAGTACAGATCTGGAGAACCTATTAAGGTACATATTTATATATATAATATTGATGTTTATTATGTATCAGTTGAAGAATTATAAATTTACCTTTGAGCTAGTTAACCATAAATCAATCATTTCTCATCAAGAGTCATTTCATCTCACTTAAGACCTGGATGAAATTGTAAATGAGTATTATACCAGACAATATATTCACTGGGTATATGCAATGCATTTCTTCAGGCAGGGAAAGAGTCTGTTTTGTTTAGAGCCATGCACCATCACTGAAATATGGGATAGTGATGTGAGAGTTCATGTTGAAGGGGAATGAGGTTTGGAAGTCAGGCACCAGTAGATTTCAGAATTTCATGGCTGACACAGGAAATGACCACATTATTTTGAACACCAATTGGGTAACCCAGCCAGAAACCAAAACAAAAACCAGAAACAGTCTGATCCTTTGTCTAGAGTACAGCCAATCTTTGATCATATGTTAGAGCAGGGTTTGGCAAACCGTAGTCCTGAGAGGTAAATCCATCCCTTTTCAGAAAATAGTTTTATTGGAATATAGCCATGCTCATTCATTTACTTATTGTCTATGTCTGTTTTTGGCTCCAGTGGTCAATGCAGAGACCATATAGCCTGCAAAGCCTAAAATATTTACTATCTGACCCTTTGCAGGAAGTTTGCCAACTCCTATATTAGACTGTTATATCATGCATTAAACAATTGAATCATGCATTGTTTGCTGACATTCCTAAATAGATCCTCTTAAGCTGAGTTTGGTCTTTCTACACAGGTGACTGGAGATGATTCGGTTTTTAAGGCTTTCAAATGGAGATTGTAGTTGAAGAAGAGGGATTTGCCTTGGGGAGTATGCTGCTATCCCTTTGATGCTACTTCTGTAGGGGGCCAGGAGCTTGTCCATTTACCTGGGGTGGGTGTCTCCTTGCCTAACTCATGCTCCATGTCCCTCTATGTCACAGTCCTTGCTGTTCCTCTCTCTGTTGGGGGTGGACATGGAGTAGCATGTAACTGGGGAACCTGGACCGAAAGGATTTTTCACTGCAGATTCTGGGGATAAAGGGATAAAATTTTTCATACACCTTGCTAATAATGGATCTAGATGTGGAAGTTTAAAGATTAAGAGTGATTTAAGCTTTAATCGTGGTCCAAGTGGACAGTTCAAGAAGGTGTGGAGGTCTAGTGAAGAAGGCACATCTGTCTCAGTTCCCCTGGTCTCTGGTGCAGTAGAGGAGTGGCAATAAAGGGGTAGCTGGCACATCTCTGAGCTGTCAGCCACGTCTTCACCTGGGGCACCTGAAAGCCAGTGAAGGCTCCTACCCACTTGCTGGGTTACTTACCCTTGAAAAAACAGTACCTGCAAATACTGGAGAGATTGAAGCATATGACCACTTTTAGCTTTCAAAGGACATAACTCCCCTTTCTAACATATAAGGCTGTTAATCATGTTTCAATTAATGTTTCAATTTTTAGTTATATCTGTAGAAAAGCATTGCATACAAAAGCAAAGAAGTGCCTGTAAATAAGTTGAAATGTAATGATGTTGTGGTAAGCACAGGCAACCTCATATCAGAGCTGCGAGTTTGAATTAGAAGATACAGTCTTAAGAAACATATTGGGGTTATTCTTTTTTTTCAGGGGGGTTAAGATTTCATTAATAAATGTCAGGCTATTTTTGTGACTCTAGAAGATTATAATTTTTTGGAAGGTATTTAAGATATTTTCAGACGAAATCCTCTGAAGGTATTTGGAATCTGATGATTTAGTTTATTCTGCTTATGATTTAGGTCTAGATCTATGCCCAGATGACTCTCCTGGGGATAGTTATACCCAACCTCATTAAATAGGTCTGTGCTACGAGAGGAGTTCTGGTTGTTGATTTTCCTCTTCCTGAGGTACTGAGAAATAGGGGACCTGTAACGGGGCACGATTTTCTAGAATATGATGGCTCCAAGTGCTGTTTGTGTTGGAAGACCTGGCATGTTTGTTTTCCTAGTGTGATAAGATACTGAGGGGCCTGGAGTTCATGAAGTCAGGCTGAATTACTTCCGAGAATAAATTGGTTGATAAAGATGCAAGTAATGATGCAGTCTCTCTCATGTGATTTGTTTTAAAGTAGTTTAAATTCTTATTTAGCTATGTTTATGGTATGTGATTTTCTAAGTGTACTTCCCTCCCCCCACTAATTCTTATCCCTTCTTTATGTCCTAGATCAACGACTATCACCTTTTCTACAAGATGAGTAACAGCCACCCTCTTCGCCCCTTTACTGCAGTGGGGGAAATTGATCATGTGCACATTTTGTCTGAACATATTGGTGCCTTGCTGATTGGGGAAGAATACGGCGACGTCACATTTGTTGTGGAAAAGAAACGTTTTCCTGCCCACAGGGTAATTTTAGCAGCGAGGTGCCAGTATTTTCGGTAAGTGTATATTACTTTTTGCAGATTCAAGTCACTTGTGGAAAACACTGGTATTTTTCTCCTCTATGAAAAATATGTAACAAAGCATAACAATAAATTCTTGCAATCTCTGAATTCAACCTCTACAAATATGGAATATTTGTAGACTTTTTGTTAGTTTTTTTTTCCCCTCCCAGCCATCTAATCCTACTCCCCAGAGACAACCTCTGTTAACAGTGTAAAATGAATTTCCCCTGATTTTTCTCAATATAAATAGATACATCTCTCTATACCTATGTGCAACATATGGCGCAACAAATCCCATGCAACACATCTGGGTCTGCAACTTGACTTACATACTATATCCTGGATATCTTTCCAAGACTGTATACATTGATCTCCTTTATCTCTGTAATAGCTGCACAGAAGTATATATCCGTTTTTAAAATTATGTTTCTGTTGATGGACATTTAAGATTTTTTTCAGTGTTTCCATTGTTTCTTTTTTTTTTAAAGACTTTATTTATTTGTCAGAGAGAGGGAGCACAAGCAGGGGGAGCGGCAGAGGGAGAAGCAGACTCCCTGCTGAGCAGG